GAGAGCAGATGCTGGCTCAGCGCAAAACCGAATTACTCTCACAAGCCCGCCGACGTTTTGTGGCTAAGCCAAAGGTGATGGTTAATGGTATGGAGAATTCACAAACAGACTGTGATAGCTTAGCAGACTCCTGAGTGATGCAGATACTATACATTATAGTGTGGATCTGTATGGAACTGAGTAGTCATAATATACTTTGTTTGGAAATGACATTTTGGCAGTATTGCACAAATGTTGTTGCAGATGATTATATAGTTTGAATTGGAAGTGAACAGGTATTGAATGCTGTTCACAAAACTGGTCCATCCTGTATAGGTAGAATGGAGGATTAGTTTTCAATTTTTTCCCTGACGTTATCCTGTTCTCAAGTAATACAGAAAGCTTTTGAGTTTCCCTTTGAGCTTCATACCATATTCAAATGCTGTTTTTGTCTGCTGTAGAAAATGTTATTTGCAAATACTTCTTGTTTAAGAGATACAAATTACCTTGAGTGATGCATAAAATATCATGCCAGATGTAGCACAGACAAAGTAGCATAAACGATATAACATGAAAGTGTAATGTAGTTTTTGGATAATGATTTAGACTTGTAGCATCTGCTGGAATATGCTCATACCAGTAGCTTCCAGATTCACAGTGATAGGTACCGGTCAAGTTAGTTACGTATCTTTTCTTGACAATTTTGCTGTAATGTGGTTCCTTTAGATAGATAAGAAGTTGTAAACTGCCCTGTTTTAGATATGAAAATCCATGTTATTGTACATTTCTTATTGACATTTTCTGTGAAAATGTTTGAATAACTGTAAGAGTGAAATGGTTACAATTTTTTCATTGTTTTTTTCCCAATTTGTTAGCAGTTGATTGATTGGACAGTCCAGCATTTGGAGTGTTTTTGCTTGATTTCTTTGTTTCAAATATGATTCTGATTATGTGTTGGAAAACTTTTTGTATGTTTGTGGTTTGATAGCCTTTGTTTATATAACTGATTTTACTTTGCCATACAGAAATAAAGTAAAGGGTATAAGATTTATATGCAAACCTGATCTCCTGGGAAACATTTCATTTCAGAACATTATGCTCGAAAATGATTTTTAGCATGAAATGAGGTGTCCTTAAATAATTTGTAAAACAGTGGTAAAGAAGAACACCTGTCATATTTCTGTGTGCAACACTGAGTGTAGATTCTCAAGGTATCACAAGATTCAAGAATTGATTGCACCAACCCTCTACAATACTACAACTTTTTTAGATAAGTTTTTATAAACTGATATGGTATGAATCTAAAAGTAAGAACTCTTTGAATATAAATGTCAGGATTTATGGAAGAGTGAATTTTTCATATGGTTTTTGACAAGATATTTTTCACTGAACACAAGAAGCTAATTACTTGAGCTGGCATGTTTTGAAGGTGAAAGTATGCTCAAATTTACATGGGCCGAAGGCTTGTCATGTCCCTGATGCTTGTCTCTTTTGACCTACTAAGAACTGCACAAATGTGAAACTAGATCCAGCCATATATTGCCAGGTACAGGACCGGTACCTCTCGTTGATGTACATTAAGCTCTGTTATTTTGAGCTGTCTGTGCATCTGAATCAGTGTAATCCAATTCTGGAATCAAAATAGTTGTGGTGATTATCTCATCTTCATTGTAGAAGAAGAGATAAAATGTTGATTTGCTGTATAATCATGACATCGAATTCTTCTTGTACCCATGCCAATTTTGCTAAGGGGAAAGTTTATCTTTCTTGGCTAGCAGACACTAATGCTTATTAGGGAGACTGACTAATCATGTGCTGATTTTTTTCAGTGTTCACTTGCCATCTTACATTAGGTATGACCATTCCATTAAAGTGAAGAAATAGATTTATTGATCACTGATGTCATGTTATTACATGTTGTCAGTTGTAGAAGAGTTTTAGATATGTGATAGAGAACTTGTGTCTTATAGTGCAGAAGAAGCTTCATTTGCTACATGTTGAACACAGAGCATGTCAGAACTGGATGGTTCTTTTTGTGAAGCCTTTAAGTCTTGATAGATACACATCATTGATGTACGCTTAGACTTCTTGAAATCAGATGTGGCTTTTTTTCAGCGACTTCATGTATCATCAATTTAAAGCTAACTGCAAAATATTTATAAAATTATATGTTGATTTGTGAAACTGTCTCTTACACATTGTAATTTGGATGCAGTTCACATGTGCCATTGACACTGTGACTGTTGGTTAAAGTGTTTTTCTTTAAGAAATGCTTGATATCATGTTTTATGTTTTTAATGTTTCTGATACACTATTATGATGTAAAGAGCAAAGTTATTGGCATTAGGGTTTCCTTACAGATATATTAAAATTATTTTTGTATTATTTACTAACTCTGAAGCAAAAGCTTTAATTACATTGTGTAGTGTGATGATTTGTATCAGGTGTTAAGATTATTGTGTTATGAATAGTTTTTGTGCTTGAATAATTCACTCTAACTATTCTTTTATCTCTGATTTTGAAAGCAGATAAATAGAGAAGGAAACTTGTAAAATATATTTGGTTATATTTTAACTCAGACTTGTAAGGATTTATTTCTCAAACATACTTTAGAAATTTGTGACAAAATGTATATATAATGGTCTTATCATCAAAGCTACAGATATGTTCTATTTATACTACCAATGATGATGGAGAGACATTTGCTATCTAAATATGCTCTGCAAAGACATTTCAAGTTAGTTTGTCATAATGAAGCAGGATATTTATATTTTGTACAGGTGAAATTTACACACTATTTTTGTTTTTGTTTTTGTTTTACAATTTTAAAATTGTATTATTTCTGTTGCTTAAATGTCAGGAGAGGAATTCATTTAACTTCTATTATTTGCATCACTGCTCAAAGAATTTGGTTATAGGTATTAATATTTTAAGTTTCAGCATTATATTTTCGTATGCATAAGCATCTATTATTTTCTCAAATAATTAATAGAGTTCATTTGCACAGATAATTTACTGCTAAATGCCAAATATTGACTTAATCTCTTTTTTATCTAGTCAAAATCCTATCCTTAAATAAATACCTTCATTTGATTGTGATCCATAGAAAATAGGAATGTCTAAGAAAGCATACAGTAATTAAAAAGTGTGTGCTAATCTGTAAACTCCTGGTTAAGATGCAAACCTCCAAAAAGATGGACACCATATTTACATATTTTTTAACAATGTATTTATCAGATTTTTATATATTTCACCTCAATGTCGAAGACACAACATGAAGCCAAAATCATATTGACCTTTTACTTGAACTACCACATACCCTTGTTATTACTGATCAGTATCACTACCACTGCAACAGAAGTAATTGTCACCTTGCAGTAAATTATCACCATGAGAGGTATTGTTGAATAGCAGACTTGATATATTTGGTGCAATCAATGATCCATTACATTAATCCCTTTGAGTTAATCTGTAAACATTCTCTGATTCTCTCTATCTGCATTGCTCAAAAGTTGAATAAAGTGTGAACTGAAATCACTTAAAATAAGACCAAGGTATATTAACAAACAAACAGGAAATTAAGCATGAAAGATGTAGTATGTGGTGCCATACATGACAAGGTTATTTGGCAAATAGCTGGTCATGGTTAAACTAGGAACTACCCTATTGTTTTTCTGTGACTGCATGATCTATGTATAAGGAAGCCTTACTGATTCTCAAAATTCTATGTTATGTATGCACTTATTAATGCAAGTGTAGTATCTGAAGTTCTTTATTAAGTGCAAATATCAATGCATGGTGTGGATTCTGTTAGCTGTATTACAAACATTGCTAAATTTTCATTATACACACACACTATAACTTTTTGTTGAACAAGTACATTTGATTGTGGTGCAATTTTCAGGAGTTTTAGCTAAGATCAGGCTGTTTTTGCTAATTTTTTAACTTACAAGCATGGGAATATAGTACATTCTCTAGTGCACTGGCCTTTATTAATGATATAAATTTAATACACTCATTTAGATATGCCTTTTCAGCATGTAACATGCAGTTGCAAAGTTAATATTATTTAAAACTGTTTCAATATTTTTTAGTTCAGTGAAAAGAAACTGATTGAAAAATGTTTGTTTTCCAGATACATCTTATTTTAGTCTCATAAAATGCTTCTAAAATACCAAATGAAGTAGTAGAGATAAATATATATATATATTTTTTGGACTTCAATATTGCAGCTAAATGTAACTGGATTTGTTCATTCATATATTTATTATTTTCTGTATTTTCTGCTATATGACCTTTGATGTCTAGCACATTTATTTTCTTGTCATTATTACTTACTTACTTCTGTGTATGGACTTAATATTTTTATTTATGAAGGAAGGGGGGGAAACCTTTGTTGTTGCCGCATGAGAAAACTGATAGAAGAAACTGGTACCTGAATTGTATAACTGATGCAGGAATAAGGAATGTAGTAAGCATTCATATAGGTAAGTGTATTGCTAGCCATAAAATATTGCACACATAATAAATACATTGCTATTACTTCAGATAGTATTTAGTTGTTACTACTCATCCTGGTGAAGCTTCATTTTCCAGGAATAAATGTTTTTTGGTGACTGAACAGATAGATATAGAACTCTCTGCTGTAGAGATATTGTAGCCTTAAAGGCTTGGTTTTAAATGGAAATTTTTAAACTTTCTCTAGAAGTTACATTTTATTACCATTCAAAGTACTTTTTCTCCCAACAAAATATAATTTTTTATTAAGAAATCAAAGGTCTCTGTAGCTTACCTTTATATGTTGTAATTCACTTTGATTAGTGTTTTGACACATATATGTGCAGTACATATTTGATGATGGTATTTTGTTGTTTCCAGCTAATCATCCAAAAATTGAAAAAATAAAGAAAAAATCCTAATCAAGGCATTGTTTTGTTACATAACAATGTTCATATAAAAATAAGTTCATATGTACTCCATTTGTGATTAAACTTTTCTGTAAATAAAATCTTGTGTTTGTATTTTTTGAGTGATTCTCCATAATGCTATTGTTAGGTAGTTTTCAAAGTAATTTTCTCTTTCTCGCATACTACCACATGAAACTTTGTTAAAGGAGACAATCTGCTTTTTCCTACTTGACTTTTAGCAGCATTTTCAATTTTTATATCCTATAGTCTTACCCATTTGATTTTAGTTTAATATTCGGTATCTTTTAAAATATTTGTCCCATAGTTTAAAGTTCATAATAGAAAATGTGAAAAGAAAATAGTTGTAAATAAGGTGCCTTGAACGTATAATTTTTCTTTCCATTCAGAAAAGTCTTTTCGTAAATTCAAATCTTGCTATAGTTCTCAAAAAGTATGCAGTTCCATAAAAATTAACAATATGAATTTACCAGAAAAATATGCAAAAATTAAGACCAGTGGATTGGACAATGCATAATCCGTTCTTCCTGAAAGGAGTCCAGTCTCATCTTCAGTGATAAAAAGATACATCTTGAGTAAAATAAGGGAAAGAGTAAAGCAAAATATTTATCTCTGTACAATCTGGTGATGTATACCAAAATTCATGTTTTTATGAGAATAGTCTAGAGAGAGAGAGAAAAAAAATTGAACAAACTTCCTACTCACTGTAATTCTGAATGTAATCTGGCACTATATTTCATTTTTTCCCCCTTCACTAAAAATAAAATGTATATAATACCCTTGTGTATACATCAATGCATTTAGCATTATATTGAAACTTTGATAAAAATTGTACATATTCATCAGAAGTTCTGACTGAAATAGTCTTTATTAATTTTTTTCCCCACATAAAAGTAAAAAAATAATGCAGCCTTCAGATAACATTAAATCACTCTTAGATAATTAAAATATCTGATATAAAATATTAAGAGAATGTACTAGATATAATTTTTATAACAATTCTGTTATATTTTCATTCTCATTCAAAAGAAAGGAAGAAAAAAAAAAGAGTGAATGGGAGAAAGTTGAGCCAAAATTATACAAAAGCTCCCATCTCTTAATATTTCAGGGATAGGGTCTTCTCAAGCATCTCTCAAAGAAAAGTAGGAGGGGTTTTTGTTGACCTTTTGTGAGAAAAATTTGTATCTAAAAAATACATATGCCTCTTTATTAACAAATGTGGCTATAGCGGTCGTGACATAATGATGTATGACATGTATACACGTCATGACTCACTCTAGCAAGCAAGTGGGTGGGACATGGCATATACCCTACCAGAAAGGCTATACTGTTGTGAAATGATTGTCACAAAAATGTTTGGCCCTTCTCCAGGATTCAAGAAAAAGACCATGCCAAAAGAAAGTATAAAATATTCAAGGGGACCCTTTGAGAAAGTTCAGGCCCAATGATGGAAAAATGTGCAAATATCTCACTTTGGGAGCCTTCTAGAGCTTATGGAAGAAATTTCAAGCCAAAGTAATGTAAAATATACATACATTTTAAGACCAATAAATTTTCATATATGCCATTTGAATGAAGATGATCCTGTTCCCTGTTGCATAAATGTCTGTTAGGAGTGACACATGGACATAAAACAATATTTGATACTGTATTTTTATTTCATGCAGCATTCATATATGAGACAAAAAAATTAATTCCTGGTCCACTATATTACAGATTTAAATAAAAAAATCACTATGATACAAAATAAACTATGTACTTGTTAGCAAATCATGAACACATGAATACCTGAAAGTACTAAATCACTAAATTAAACTATACAAATCTATATTTTAATCCACTTTGCATAGATTTATGATTTTTGGGACAGTTTTTTCTACTGAATATTCCAATATAAAAAGGAAGGGGGGCATGTTTGGTTAATGTTCATCATCTTAACCTTAGTAAAAGAACCTGCAATGTCTGCCTTATATTCACTTAATGTACTGTCAAATGTTACTTTTCTCCTTAATTAAAAAAAGAAACAAAGATTAAAAGAAATATTGAAACTCTGCATCACAGGGAAACAATTATTTGCTATCTGCCATATTTTCCTATATTTAAAAATCACCAGATAAACTGCAGTGGTACTGCCATTCAATATATAAAGCAATTGTTTTCATACAAAGACTGTAATACTAACTATATTTTTGCTTCAAATTAAAGAATGATCCACTGTGAGAGCAATTAATGTAAGTATGCATTTAAATAACATGAGGTTGATTTACATATGTAATCTCCTATTAAATGCTAAACATCCACATATCAAAGTATAAAAGAAGTTGCTAATGGTGCAAGGATTGTTTTGAGCTAGGTATAATGATTCTCCATTCACTACTACATACTTTCCATCACAGAAGTTTCAAGGCAGTGTTATATAAGATGTCAATTATAGTATGGGAGAGAGATTGATTAAAAATGCAACATTTATCAAAATGTCACAAAAATACTGTAACAAATTTCACCCACATGAGAATACACAAAAGAGCATAGACAAACTTATGAATCTAATTTATAATCACATACACATCACTATACAAAATCCAACTTTGTTATTAGGCTTCACAAATTTTCAAGAAACTGATTAAAGAGTGATGTGTATCAGGTTTTCAAAAATGCCAAATATTTAGAAACATGTTCAGAAATGTTAATTAAGAATAATTAACATCTGTCAGCACATTTATAGAGAAAAAAAGAAAAAAGGAAATATTAAAAAGTCTAAGGTTATCTAATACAACAATACTGGAATGCATTAGCAGACTATACAGTTTCTTGATAAAATGTGCTATAAAACATCTGAAGCTATAGTATATACAAACTTAATTTTTTTTAAACATAAAACTTCCATGCTGTACAGTATACAATTTAATTTCTGCATCTTGATTAAAACTAACTGATTCTTAAACAGATTCACCGACTGTTTCAGAACTGCCCAATATGCCATAAGGGATATTTTCTTCTATACCTAAGCCTCTATGATAATGTTATTATCTAAAATGTTGATGTTCCTGTTCCTATTCTGAAAACATGCACAGCCTATTTCCTTAGTATATCTATCCTACTTGACTTGAACACGATATAATGAGAATATCTGTCGCATTTACACATGAAAAATGACCATGTATGATCATATATGCACCATATAAATGCATCCTTCTTGTGAGTACCAAAAGGTGCATTAGATATTCCTATTCCTATTCATCGCTTTCACACTTGATTTGAATATAAAATATTACAAGGACTAAACTTATTGCTAGTCTGGATTGTAGGTCAATCTCATGTTCTGAAGAATCATAACTGGATGCAATCAGTTAGTGAAGGCAAGAAATCCTATATTCAACTACATACTAAAAGGCATGTATAGATATTACCTAAGATTACTATATATTATCACTTCAGTAATTCAAAAAGTGTTCATGCACAATAAAACTCCTTTAAATATTAACATTTCATAAGGAATGGCTCATGTGCATAAGTAATGATATTTTTTGATAAAGCACCTTTCCTGAAAAAAATCTTTTAAATGATTTAGTATTTGTGATTTTCTATTCCTAATGAAAAACTCCTTAGTTGTCATTCCAGGAACTGCCAAATGTTATACACAGCCCATTCTAAAAGAGAAAAAAAATGTATACATATATTCAGAATAAAAACTCACATAATATCTGTGCAACCAGCTATAAATGATTACAGAGGCTTCATTTTCACTTCAAGTTCAAAGAAATATAAAAAGAATCCTTGGCATTGAATTATCCTCATCCACAGGACAAAACACTTCTTTATATAAACTCAGTGATGGACAAAAATTACAGTCCTTTTCTCCCACTTTTACATAACCCATTCAGAAAATAAATAAATAAAACCCACTAGCAAATTTATCGTAACTACTCCCCTACAGAATAAATCCAAAAACCAACAAAATATTTACTGAATAACAGAATATATTCAAGAAGATTTGTCACTTTCTTCCTCTGAGTCATCTTCATCATGGTAATGAGTGACACGTTTTGGTGTTTCTGCCCGCGCATGAGGCACCAGTGACTGAGCTCTCTCTAAGATCTGAAAAATGTGGAAAGTGTCAAATTAACTCTGAGGACTAATAAATCACAAAAAGCTAATTCTCTTTCCATACTGTAAAAAGTATTATAATAATACTCTTTTTAGTTATTCCATGATATGTATCACAAGAACATAATCACTAGCTTCATCTGGTGAACAAGAAGACAAGACAGTATGACAATTTGCAGAGAAAGTCCAGTGTATAAACACAACAGTGAAGGTTACACATCTTCACTGGTAACTTAAATAAAAAAAATAAAGTAAAAGGATGAGCTCCAGAAAATAAGCAGAAAATGTCTCCTTACCTTTGGTCTCTTGGACTGGAGGTTATCTGGGTTGTCTACTTGGACACTGGAAGCACGTGATCTTGTGGATACTGGACCATCACCAACTTGGAAGCGTTGCTCGTGTGCTACAGTGGACTCATGAGGCATCTACAATAAAAAATTCTTATCTTAAAATACAGAACTTTATCCATTGCATTTAAACATTAATCATTCTTAAACAGATTGGTAGAGGGAGAGAGATGAGAGGGAACAGAGAACAAGAAAGTAGAGTACTTGCTAGTTTTATTAATGTTGTAACCTTGCATTCTCAAGCATAAAAAAATGCAAAATCTATATTGCATTAACATGTATATAGTGTTCATGATTACACGCAGTGCATATAAAGTGTATAGATATCCAGACTGCACTGCCATTTAGCATAATAAACTTTTTTTTTCACATCAAAGGTGCCAATTAATTTTACACTTTTAAGTGTGTATGCATGCATCAAAGCATCTACCAAATTATCATAATATGGTCTTCCTGGAGATAAATCATAAAAAAAAAGATCAACTTACCAACATTGCAGGGGCACGGAACATATAGCTGAATGGATAGTAGATCAAATTAAGTAGCGTTGAAGCATATAGGTCGGCATATCTTGCAACCTGGAAACAATATAACATTAGCCTCTATATATTATATCTAATATTTTGATCAATCTCTGTGGCA